GGGGATACCATGTGTATCATATGCATGTAGACTGTGGCGCATAGCACAGGGCACCTCCAGGTCACGCGACCCCTTATACTGCACATAAATGCATATGCTGTTTAATAGTTTCAAATGGCTGCACAGCATTAAGTAGTTAGCAGTAATGTGAATGAGAAATAACTGTGAGAGAGAAGCTGAGGCATAAAACTATGCCCACAGAGTGCATACTAAGGACACACACAAATACGAAGTTTCAGTCACATTCAAATTAGAAAAAGGTGTTCAAAACACAGATCTGTGGGGACACAGAAGAAAGATGCTGAAATATAGGACTTTAAGAAGTCCAGCTTAGGAACCCTAACATCTTGGAATTCTGGAGAGGCTCTGGGAGGTACATCAGGGGAGTAGGAGGCCTGGCTGGTTCCCTTTTGGGAGTAGATGGAGAGAGAAGACCTGTTGAGGGGGGCAGACAGGAAGGAGTGCTCTGAGGGGCAGAGAAGCTTTAGAGATTGTCTAAGGAGGATGCCTTCTAACCGGAGAGAAAAATGCTTCTCTCGAGGAACAGATGACATTCAGGGGTGGTTGAGACCCTCGAGAGTTGCTACCATCCAGAGAAGAAACACCTCCCCCCAGTTCATGTTGAAGGTGGGAGCAAAGAACTCCTACAAAAAAGCGATACACATGACATGCCCCACATTCAAAGAAAAACTGAGGGGCCATTTTCCACTTGGCCCTCTGGAAAAGAGATAATGTCCAGACTCTTCCTGAAGTTGCAAGTGTTGTAACAACAACAATGGAGATTCGTCTTTTTCTTGACCCACGGAAGGAAATCACCTGAATACATTAACCAATGACTGTGAGTAAACAGACTTCGATTTCCCGGGCTCTCTTCCCATTGGCTCTGTGCCAGCTTTCCCTTCCAGGTCAGTCTAAACAAGAGCACACAAGGTAAACAGATTAACCCTATAATGACTGAATTAGACCTTACAACACATACATATTTCCAACAGTGAGAAGGGCCCCCCCCCAAAAAAAGATGTATTCTTCACTCCCACTGACTTTGAGACTATTAGATTGGCCTTTGGTACTGTATATTATTGTTTCATTGTTAGCAACATCTTCTTCAGTTTAAAACTCCCTTCCTCACCTTTAGGGGAAAACAGTTTTTCTTAAAAGTTCAGTTCAGGTTTGAGCGGGCTCTGACCACTATTAACTCAATTAACTATTAATTCAATTAATAATAACAACAACAATCTTGCTCTTTTTTGTCTGACAAGGTAAAGTAGAAGTGATATACACATATGCAAGATTAAAGCAAAAGGAATACAGATAATTGATAGACAAGGAAGTGCCAGCATTGAATATAGGAACGTAAGAATGTAAGAAGAGCCCTGCTGGATTAGACCAATGGTCCATCCAGTCCAGCATCCTGTCTCACACAGTGGCCAAGCAGTTCCTCTGGAGGACTAACAACAGGGCATAGAGGCCAAGGTCTGGGTTGGAAAATACCTGGAGACTTTGGGGGAGGATCCAGGAGATGGTGGGGTTTGGGGAGGGGAGGGACCTCAGCACGGTACAATGCCATAGAGTCCACCCTTCAAAGCAGCTATTTTCTCCAGGGGAGCTGATCTCCGTCAGCTGGAGATCAGTTGTAAAAGCGGAAGATCTCCAGCCCCACCTGGAGGCTGGCAACCCTAGGCTAAGGCCTTCCCCTGATGTTGCCTCCTGGGTCTGGGATTCAGAGGCTTAATGCCTCTGAATGTGGAGGTTCCCCTCAGTCACCATGGTTAGTAGCCATTAATACACATCCTCCATGAATCTATCTAATCCCCTTTTAAAGATATTTATTCCTGTGGCCATCACTGCATCCTCTGGCAGCGAATTCCACATTTTAATCACTCTCATGGTAAAGTAGTATTTTGTCTATCCTGAAACTACTGCTCATCAGTGTCATTGGATGCCATCAAGTTCTAGTATTTTGGAAGAGGGAGAAAATTTTCCTTTTGTCAATTTTCTCCATTCCATGCATAATTTTATAAACTTATATCATGTCCCCTGAGCCTGCTTTGGTGGGGTAGGGCAGGGTATAGATCGGAAAAATAAATAAATAAAATAAATTAAATGTCTCTTTTTTAAATTGAAAAATCCCAGACTCCTCAGCCTTTCCTCATAGGGAAAGGGCTCCAACTCCCTAATTATCTTGATTGCCCTCCTCTGTACTTTTTCCAGCTCTGCAATGTCCTTTTGTAGAAACGGGGTCCAGAACTGTATTCCAAATGAGGTCACACCATAAATCTATGCAGGGGCATTACAATATCAGCCGATTTATTCTCAATCACTTTCCTAATAATCCCTAACATAGAGTTTGCCCTTTTCATCGCTGTAGCACACTGAGTTGACACTTTCTTTGAGCTATTCACTACAACCCCAAGATCTTTTCCCCTCTCAGTCTAAGAAAGTCCAGACCACATTAGCCTATACTTGAAGTTGGGAATGGGATTTTTTGTGCATCACTTTATCAACATTGAACTTCATTTGCCACATTGTTACCCACTTACCCAGTTTGTGGAGGTCTTCTTGGAGCTCTTTACAGTCAGCCTTGGTTTTCACCATCTGGAATAATTTTGTATCATCTGCAAACTTGGCCACTACACTACTACCCCCAGTTCCAGATCACTGATGAATAAATTAAATAGTATTGGCCCCAATATCAATCCTTGTGGGACCCCACTGCTTACTTCCCTCCATTGTGAGAGCAGTCTATTGATTCCTACTCTTTGCTTCCTACTCATTGAACAAGTTTTTAATCTATAAGAGAACCCATCCTCTTATCCCATGACTGCTAAGTTTACCCAGGAGTCTTCAGTGAGGTACCGTGTCAAAAGCCTTTTGAAAGTTCAGGTATATAATGCCTACTGGGCCACTGTTGTCTACATGCTTTTTCACTTTCTCAAAGAACTCCAAAAGGTTGGTAAGGCAGGACTTCCATTTGCAGAAGCCATGCTGATTTCCCCTTCAGCAAGCTTTGTCCCTCTACATACCTAGCAATTCTATCTTTGATTACAGTTTCTACTAATTTGCCTGGGATAGACGTTGGGCTGACTGCCCTGTAATTTCCTGGTTCCCCTCTGGATCCTTTTTTAAAAATTGGTGTCACATTTGCTACTCTCCTTTCTTCTGGTACAGCAGCTGAATTTAGTGACAGGTTACATATATGGGTTAGTAGATCAATGATCTCACATCTGAGTTCCTTAAGAACTCTGGGTGTATGCCATCAGGACCTGAAGACTTATCAATATTAATTTTCCCAGTCAGTCTAGAATTTCATCTCTGGTCACCTCAGTTTGGCTCAGTTCTTCAGACTCCCTTCCTGGAAATATGGGCTGTGGCATGGGTACATGCACCACACTTTCCATATAGATCCCATGTGGATTCCATAAAAAACATGTAACTAGAAAACATATATCCAGTCTGTCATTTATTTTCCAGGCTCTAACCTGGCATGACAGCATATTTGCAGATGGAGGCTGACTAACTAATGCAATACCCACTGAGCATATTTTAACAACACAATACAGTATTTTTCTGTATCTTCTCAGTGGGGAGCAAACATCACACTACCTGTGGGTTACTGTGTGAATACAACTGTGAGCTGATGTTCCTGGGGCACAGTTCTTTTAGCTCTGTCCCTACCCTTTGGCAGCTGGCATTATGCATCATGTTCTTGGCATAGCTGACAAAGAGTTCTATTACGTGACTGTGGAAAACACAAGAACCCTTACCTGAATAAAAGAACTGTTTAAGAAACATTTGAAGCCTTAAAAGTCAAATTAGCCAAAACAAAGAGAACCCAAGCCAAAAAATTGTTCCATTGAGCTGACATACTAGCTAGAGAAAGGACACATATTCAGTCAGATTACAAAACCAAATAAAACTGGCACATTCTAGAAAGCAAATACTTCACCTCTTCTCCAACCCTGGTGACATGACTTGGTGTTTTTAAAAAAGAGGCTCCTAAACCCTCAGAATTTCCACATTTCCTCAAGGCCCACTTCAGACTTTTCCAAAGGGCCGGTCCAAGGACAAAGAAGAAAGTTCAAGGTCAGCTGTGAGAAGGCAAGCTCAATAAAGACATGGCACAGGTTAAATACATGGAGCGGGATTGCTGCACATAAAGAAGTTACCAAAATCGTCTGCCAAACATCAACAGAAAGGGGAAAACACTGCTGATCAAAGATGACCACTTTGCGTGTTGTAAACAGTTCAGGAAAAGAACAGCAGACACAGCTACCTCCACGAGACGCTTCTGTACCTAACAAGTTATTTAGAAAACCCAGGGCAAAAGTTAGACTGGCGTAAATCGCTACTCAGTTATGAAGATTCCTTGGGTGATTTGGGGAAATCACTCTCTCTTGGCTTTCATCACAGGGTGGTCGTGCAGATAAAATGCCCTTCTGGGTTCAAAGGGAATGATGAGAACATTCGCACTCAGTACCTCTGTCTCAAAAGTAACTGAGCCACTGCTCTGAATGAGTGTAGAATCTCCCAGCTTGAAGGTTCAGGGGAGGGAGATCATTTTTGAATTATTATTTTGTACATTTCAAATCATTCGAAAAAGCAGTTGAGGAGATTAAGAGAGGCCACCTCATTCACATAAGGGGATATCGATGTCACAAGAGCAGACCCATGGGTATACTTTGGCCCTCAGAGACGAACACTTGCAGTTCTCTAAACAATGAGGCCACATAGTGGAGGACTTGCCTTGAGACTCCACTTAATGCCAAGGCACCGGGCCACCTCCTTGGCTCTTAAGAGCTTAAGAGGCACTGAATCAAGTTCTCAGATTATATAGATAAAAAAGCAAAAGTGAAAATCTGGCTCCCAGCCCACCGTCTTCTCAAAAGCTCTTAGCTGTGGGCACCCCACCTGTTTTACGACACCTCTAGGCTTCATATATAGGACACACTCCATCCAGAGTGGGCTGGGAGCAGAAGCAGTGCAGCAGAGTTGGCGGGACAATGGAGATAAATGAGAAGATGGAAGTTGTCACTAAAGAGGTACTTCTCCAGCTACCACCAGTGGTGAGTCCCACCTTTATGCCTTTATGGGCACAATGATTTTCTTTTTAAAAATCCATAAAGGCAAACAGCTGCATGAACCTGCTGTTTCTCCACTTCTTTGCTGCAACTCCAGTGGATTTCAGCACCCATTTTAATAAGTGTCAAAGCAATTTGAGCAGCAATGACCCATAGAAAATGAAAGCAACCTCCATTAGAGTAAAGGCACAATCCCAACAAGTAAGAGTGAGCTGGCAAGCACCGTTGTCCCCCTAAAATCACTTGAGTGTGTGAATGTGTCTACACACACACACACACACGTATATCCCATGCCAACCAATACTGTAATGACTCTGCGCAACAGGTATAGATTTTTCAGTGTTTTTTTTTTAACTATAAGGGGCCTGTGTCACGGAACTCATGCATAGTACCATGCCTTTCAAATGCAAAAATTATGATGTCGTTTTAAGTGTTGTAAGTCACTCCAAGCCCCCTGGGTGAGAGGTAACTAAAATCTAATAAATATATTTTTAAAGCCAATGTGGCATAGTGGTTAGAGTTTCAGAGTAGGATCTGTGAGACCCAGGTCCGAATCCCCACTCTGCCATGGAAGCTTGCTGGGTGAATTCAGGTTGGTCACACACTCTCAGCCTGTTATGATTTTATGATTTTATTCTGTCTAAACTGTAATTTTAACATTGTTCTAATAGTATTATACTAATTGATGTATACTGCCCTAAGCCCGTTTATGGGGAGGGCAGTATATAAATCAAATGAATAAATAAATAACTGACCTCGCAGGGTTGTTGTAAGGATAAAATGGAGAAGAGGAGAATGATGTAGGCCAGTTTGGGTTCCCCCTGGGGAGAAAGGTGGGATATAAATGAAGTAGATAACATAAATAATAAAATAAAGAGTTAATCCTGCCTGTGGCTGGAAGCCATTATGCAAAAAGTTAAAGCTAGCATTCCCAGATCCTTAATGCTGATTGCAGTTTTGCTGTCTGGGAAACTTACACCTTGGAGTTATGGGATGGTTGTGAATGGTTGTGTGAGTGTATATGAGTATGGTTGTGGATCACCGAATGATTGCATCTTAATTTCGTTGTACTATGTACAATGACAATAAAGTATATTAGTATTAGTATTAGTATTATTTCCCTTTGCAAAGTCTGAGAAAAAACATTTTGAAGGTCAAGAAGTGTTGAGACTTCAGATAATGGATGGGACGCCCTGAAGTCCTGCTCGCCACAGCCAGTGAGGGTGGTGATAGATAATATATTCTATGGTGCTGGTGTTTTCAATATTTTATGGGCACAATTGTTCTGTAATGTCACCTACCCTGAGTGTTTGGAGTGGGATAGACAAGAACCCTAGTCTCAACAGATAGGACAAAGCAGTGTATTTCCTGGTATTTTATAGATACAACTTTGTTGTTCAGTCACACAGTCGAGTCCGACTCTTCGCGACACCATGGACCACATCACACCAGGCTCTCCTGCCTTCTGTTGTGCTCCGGAGTTTATTCAATTTCATGTTCGTTGTCTCGATAACACTGTCTAACCATCTCATCCTTTGCTGTCCTCGTCTTCTTTGACCTTCAATCTTTCCCATCATCAGGGTCTTCTCCAGTGAGTGCTCCCTTCTCATTTGGTGGCCAAAGTATTTGAGCTTCAGCTTCAGTATCTGGCCTTCAGTGACATGTTTTATAATGCTATTCCAAGGAACACTTTGCATGCTCCTGTGTTACATATTGTTGAAAGCTCTTTGCCATCTACATGCTATATTAATTTACCCTGCAATAGCCCTATCCTAAATTGGTTTAAGAATCAAGATATGGAGGGTTTTTGGGTTAAATGTATCTATTTATTTATTTCATTAAACTTATGAATTGCCCACCCTGCAAGCAGCCTCTGGGCAATTTACAGCCTTATAAAACATTTAAAATACAGACAATATATATAATTATAATAAAAGTATACCTGAAAGACATAATTGTCCTACCTACCTCAGCAGCTACAGTATGCTAGCCTCCAGGTGGGACTTGGGAATACCCTGGAATTACAGCTCATTTCCAGACTACAGAGAGCAGTTCCCTTGGAGAAAATGGCATTGTACCTCACTGAGGTCCCTGTCCTCCATCCCCAAATTTTCAGGAGTTTCCCATCCTATATCTGGCAGCCTCCTATATCTGGCAGCCCTAACCTCCCATCCCCCACCAGTGGGGGACCTGGCAACCCTAAGAATAGCTTGCTGCCTGAGTGTTCATGCACTGACAGATACAGATTTAGAGGTAACATGCATGCGTTTCCCACTCTGAGATTAAATTCTAGACATTTGGTGGGAAGAGCTGAACCATAAAGAATGACAATGCTGACAAAATGTTAATAAGGCATCCCCCCCAAATAAAAATAAGGACAGTGAATCACCATGGACAGTGACCAGCAAATGGCATCCATGGTATAGAGGAACCATTGGAGCAGTCCTACCATGGTTCCACAACTAGACTGTGTGACATGTTCTCAAATGGGTTATAGTAGCAATGCCATGAATATCTTTTGAAGGAAGGGAAACAAGAAAGGGAGAAGGGCAAGGACGAGAAAAGTCACATCTCAACCAGAATTAAATATGGCCCCATACTCCAGGGGGAAGGAAGGTGGCATGGTACAGCCCAATCTCATCAGATCTTGGAAGCTCAGACAGGTCAGTACTTGGATGGGAGATCACCAAGGAAGACTCTGCAGAAGGAGGCCATGGCAAACCACCTCTGCTTCTCACGTCCCTTGAAAGCCCCTTGCTGGGGTTGCCATAAGTCAACTGCAACTTGATGTCACTTTACACGCACACCCCTATAATGCAGGCTGGGTGGTGCAGAGAACAAAAAGGGGAAGTCCTCTGGAGCCATATGGCTAAAAAGTAACATTATTTATAAAGTATTTAAAAATTGGGGTGGATCCAGCCATTCTCCAGGTAGCCCCTTCCTCCAACTGAAGTGGCTCTTCCTCCAACGAAAGACACATTTAAGTTGGAGAAAGACTCCTTAGACTGAAGGAGGTTGGGAATAAAAATTTAAACAAATGAATACATTTTGCCCACTGGAGTGGTGGGATAGGAGAAGGATCCACCCCACTGTGTACAGAGCCAGGGCCTCCTAGCCAGGAAATCACCCTACCTTCTGATGTCCCCCTTCCATAGCACCACCACGCCTTGGATCCAGATCTTCTGGGCTGCTGCCCCTGCTGCGATTGCAGTTTTGCTGTCTGGGAAACTTACACCTTGGAGTTATGGGATGGTTGTGAATGGTTGTGTGAGTGTATATGAGTATGGTTGTGGATCACCGAATGATTGCATCTTAATTTCGTTGTACTATGTACAATGACAATAAAGTATATTAGTATTAGTATTAGTATTATTTCCCTTTGCAAAGTCTGAGAAAAAACATTTTGAAGGTCAAGAAGTGTTGAGACTTCAGATAATGGATGGGACGCCCTGAAGTCCTGCTCGCCACAGCCAGTGAGGGTGGTGAGAGATGATATATTCTATGGTGCTGGTGTTTTCAATATTTTATGGGCACAATTGTTCTGTAATGTCACCTACCCTGAGTGTTTGGAGTGGGATAGACAAGAACCCTAGTCTCAACAGATAGGACAAAGCAGTGTATTTCCTGGTATTTTATAGATACAACTTTGTTGTTCAGTCACACAGTCGAGTCCGACTCTTCGCGACACCATGGACCACATCACACCAGGCTCTCCTGCCTTCTGTTGTGCTCCGGAGTTTATTCAATTTCATGTTCGTTGTCTCGATAACACTGTCTAACCATCTCATCCTTTGCTGTCCTCGTCTTCTTTGACCTTCAATCTTTCCCATCATCAGGGTCTTCTCCAGTGAGTGCTCCCTTCTCATTTGGTGGCCAAAGTATTTGAGCTTCAGCTTCAGTATCTGGCCTTCAGTGACATGTTTTATAATGCTATTCCAAGGAACACTTTGCATGCTCCTGTGTTACATATTGTTGAAAGCTCTTTGCCATCTACATGCTATATTAATTTACCCTGCAATAGCCCTATCCTAAATTGGTTTAAGAATCAAGATATGGAGGGTTTTTGGGTTAAATGTATCTATTTATTTATTTCATTAAACTTATGAATTGCCCACCCTGCAAGCAGGCTCTGGGCAATTTACAGCCTTATAAAACATTTAAAATACAGACAATATATATAATTATAATAAAAGTATACCTGAAAGACATAATTGTCCTACCTACCTCAGCAGCTACAGTATGCTAGCCTCCAGGTGGGACTTGGGAATACCCTGGAATTACAGCTCATTTCCAGACTACAGAGAGCAGTTCCCTTGGAGAAAATGGCATTGTACCTCACTGAGGTCCCTGTCCTCCATCCCCAAATTTTCAGGAGTTTCCCATCCTATATCTGGCAGCCCTAACCTCCCATCCCCCACCAGTGGGGGACCTGGCAACCCTAAGAGCAGCTTGCTGCCTGAGTGTTCATGCACTGACAGATACAGATTTAGAGGTAACATGCATGCGTTTCCCACTCTGAGATTAAATTCTAGACATTTGGTGGGAAGAGCTGAACCATAAAGAAGGACAATGCTGACAAAAATTTAATGAGGCATCCCCCCCCAAATAAAAATAAGGACAGCAAATGGCATCCATGGTATAGAGGAACCATTGGAGCAGTCCTACCATGGTTCCACAACTAGACTGTGTGACATGTTCTCAAATGGGTTATAGTAGCAATGCCATGAATATCTTTTGAAGGAAGGGAAACAAGAAAGGGAGAAGGGCAAGGACGAGAAAAGTCACATCTCAACCAGAATTAAATATGGCCCCATACTCCAGGGGGAAGGAAGGTGGCATGGTACAGCCCAATCTCATCAGATCTTGGAAGCTCAGACAGGTCAGTACTTGGATGGGAGATCACCAAGGAAGACTCTGCAGAAGGAGGCCATGGCAAACCACCTCTGCTTCTCACGTCCCTTGAAAGCCCCTTGCTGGGGTTGCCATAAGTCAACTGCAACTTGATGTCACTTTACACGCACACCCCTATAATGCAGGCTGGGTGGTGCAGAGAACAAAAAGGGGAAGTCCTCTGGAGCCATATGGCTAAAAAGTAACATTATTTATAAAGTATTTAAAAATTGGGGTGGATCCAGCCATTCTCCAGGTAGCCCCTTCCTCCAACTGAAGTGGCTCTTCCTCCAACGAAAGACACATTTAAGTTGGAGAAAGACTCCTTAGACTGAAGGAGGTTGGGAATAAAAATTTAAACAAATGAATACATTTTGCCCACTGGAGTGGTGGGATAGGAGAAGGATCCACCCCACTGTGTACAGAGCCAGGGCCTCCTAGCCAGGAAATCACCCTACCTTCTGATGTCCCCCTTTCATAGCACCACCACGCTTTGGATCCAGATCTTCTGGGCTGCTGCCCCTGCTGCGACTGCTGCTCCCTGCCTGACTGCGGCTCCTGCCCCGGCTGCGGCAGCTGTCCCAATTGCTGCTGCTGCTGCCCGAGCTGCTGCTGCCCCCCCAGCTGCAGCTGCTGCTGCCGGCTCTGCTGCTGCCTCCCAAGTCTTCTGTGCAAGTTGCCCAAGTTCCCCAGCTGCCCAGTGCACATCAAGAGGCTCTTGATCGTTGTGGTGATCGTCGTTCTCATCGTGGTGATCATCGTGGGCGCCCTTCTGATGGGGCTGTTCATAACTCAGACACACACTGAGACGGTGAGTGGAGGGCTAAGTAAGTGGACATTGGTGAGGAAGGGGGCAATAGATATATGGGAAAGTAACCGGTTTTCACTTAGTGCACTTGGCTCAAAAAAAAAATCCCATTAAGGGGCATTTTTACTTTTCCACAGTAGTGCAGTACCAGCACAGCTACTTGCAATGTTTGTCTACTTTTCCACAGGCTGTACAGCATCCTTGAGTTAATGAGACATGGATTTCGGAGAAGATTTGAATCACAAGGCGCAAGGGACAACAGCAAACATGCTAGGCGATAGATAAGGGGCACCAAGAAAAAGCTAATATCAGAAGTAAACTCCTAGGACTTCTCACCAAAACAGTCAACCTGAGTCTGGGGCAACTGTGAGGGCTTCACAGATATAAAAATGTGCTCTGCTCGTAGAAAGCTAGCTATCAAGGGGAGCAACATAATGATTTTGTACTCCCTGATATGATGATTTTCTTTGTGTAGGAATTTCCTTTGTTGTCTTTTTGGAATGAAGGAACATTTGGTCTTGTAAGCAACCGCTTGCACTCTGCAGGGGTATAGTCCAGGCACAGCTTGGTATAGAAGCTAGGGCACCAGGACAGGACCTCAGAAGCCCAGGTTCAAATCCCAACTTTGTCATAAAGTTCACTAAATGACCTTGAACTGCAGGCTAACCAACCTCACAGAGTTGCTGTGAGGATAAAATAGGAGAAAAAAAGCGTGCACACTGCCCTGAATTCCACGGAGTAAAGGAAGGATAAAAATAGATAGACTTAACTGATACAGGATACAACCAGTTTTCCAATGTCAGAGCTTACCAAATGCATGAAACAAGAGTGTGCATACAAAACTAAAGTGCCGTTGGAGCATAATAGTAAGCCAAAAAGTCTTCCATTCATATCTCTCCTATACACAGGGCTATTTTTGGGCAGGAACGCACAGGAACGGAGTTCCGGCTGGCTCCTGAGTTGGCCACGCCCAGCAGGAACTCATTAGCATAATAGGCCACACCCAATAGCAGAAACTCATTAGGATTGGCTGCATTAGGGGTGTGTGGCCTAACATGCAAAGGAGTTCCTGCTACAAAAAAAGCCCTGGGTTTTGACAACAAACAAGGTAAACAGAATAAGAAGGGAAAGGTGGGTGTGGCTGGATGACCACACTTCTGGTAACATGGGGGTGTGGCCTAATGTGCTAATGAGTGGTGTTGTCAGGGTGTGGCCTAATATGCTAATGAGTTCCTGCTGGGCTTTTTCTACAAAAAGAGCCCTGCCTATACACTTATGCAGTAGCCTTTATTGAGCCGCCCACTCTAATTCAGACTCCCACCTACAATACTGGGACAATGCTGACCTAACTTACTGGATTGTTGTAAGCAGTGTTCCCTCTAAGCTGAGTTAGTGTGAGCTAGCTCACACTAACTCAGCTTAGAGGGAACATTGGTTGTAGGGATTACTGAGATGACAAATATATAAGAGCATTCAGAACACTCTACAGCAGAATCTAAATACTATTGGTATTATTAACTACGGCTATGGCTAGTCCACAAACTATCTGAGTTTAGGGAGCCGACTCTAACTCTAGCACCATTCCTTTCAGAAATTCAGTACTGCTTACCATCTCAAGATCCGTCTGCTCCCCAGAGTTGGGACTGGGACCCTTGCAGGCAGGCTGGTGAGAATGGAAATGAAAAGCAAGCATCCTCACCACAAGATCCGCCTGCTCCCCAGAGCTGGGACTGGGACCCTTGCTGGTAAGAATGGAAATGAAAAGCAAGCATCCTCACCATACTGTATCCTGTTCTCTATTCGTAGGTCTTGCAAATGACCATTGAAGGGCTGGAGGGGAGACAGTCGCAACTGAATCTGCCCATGGATCAGGAAGAAGTGGCCACTTTCCATGTGAATGATGGAATCAATGACCCAGCCACAGTCATTTATTACTTTGGCAAGGTGAGCATGAGAGGCCGCTGGAGAAGAGGCTCTTTGGGAGAGAAGGGCCTTGGTCATTCAGGTTGGATCATGACACAATTGTCACTTTTACTATACATGGACAACATGCGGCTGCAATCTCACAAATGGTTGCCAGCCGGTTTAGTTCACAGCACCCATTCTCCCTTTCATTGCTTACATGATTGCACGGAGCAGAACTGGAACGACATATCCGTCACTACTCAGCATTTGCCAAAATGCCCAGTTTCATCCCTCAAATTATGAATGTGCTCTAATTGAAAAGTTTTCTATACGAATACAGCAAAATACTTTTTAAAACAGATTTTTAGTGTTGTTGGCATCTCTTCGTTATTTTCACAAGCATCAGATATGAAATTCTTGCATCCGGTGACTGTGTCAGCTATCCAACAAGGGAACTGAACTGAAATATCATTGGATCCTAAACACAAATGTTAAATTAGGTAGTATTATAGAGAACATCTAGAGAATTAAAATCAGGACTGGCAGCTCAAAAGTAGGCAGGGAAAGCTGGTGGTTCTGGTACGAATTCCAGCAGTGGCCTTCCCTGACTCATAACTTGTTCACACTGGGGGTCACTAGTTATGTGAGGCCAGCTGGGACCCTACTGCCTCCTTGGTTTAGCAGAGCATCCTCCGGCCATCTACGGTGGTGGTTCTACACCGTCAGCCAAGCTAAACCAGGAGTTCCTTCTGCTTGCTGGCTATTCTGGCAGTACTGGGTGTGAAGTGCCTGAACTCTGCTGCCAGGGGCCATGCTTCCAGACCCCTGGCGCTTTAAAAACACAGAGGAGCCTTGGGTAACACATTTTTTTCACTCTACCATGAAGGAAATCTACAGCATGACCCAGCCTGCAGTTACTGCTAGATTTCACACAAAATTCAAAAACTGAGCCACCCTCCTTTTAATGCATTTCTAAGTCATCTATAGCCCTACCTGATTATTGGTATCTGAGAAGTACATATTAATGAAAGCATGCCCTCTATCTGCAACAGCTACTGATTGGTTACAAATCCTGGAACAGAAAGGCCTGCTTCATCACCAGAATGGACGAGGGAAACATCCAAGGTCTAGATACTATCCTTAAAAAATTCCAGGTAAGAGCAGAAACCTGATACAGGGAAATATTAATATTAATATTATTATGGGACTGCAGGGAAATATTATGAGATGGTGGTACTTATGGGAAAACCCTGGTGGATTTGCAAATGGGGAGAGGATGCCATCTACTCATGAGGAGGCTGATTGCTAGACAAGCACAGGTCATGGCCTCAGTGACTCTTCTTATGCAGAGTGGTAGATTGGTTCCAATTCTATTGTTTTCTTTTATAGACCAACCTATCCGTCACACCTCCCATGCACACCTCCCAGGAAGAGGAGACGTTCCTTCTGTCCCAAGCTGATCACTCCATCTTGGGTGCTACAATTAACATCCTTTGCAGCCATGTCCCCATTTTCTGGGTTTAACAAGGTGAGTGAACAGAGATGTTCACTGTGGGTATGAGACCAAGGAGTTACAACTTCATGCAATAACATCTTGCAGACATCTATATACAATCCATTTGGCCACCCAAATCACTTATTCATTTGTATGCTTAAACTTGACAGATGTACGGTTGCCAGCTCCGGGTTGGAAAATTCCTGGAGATGAGGAGGGTGGAGCCTGGGGAGGGTGGGGTTTGGGGAAGGGAGGGACTTCAGTGGGGGATAATGCCATATGGTCCACCTACCATTTTCTCCAGGAGAACTGATCTCCTGCCACCACCTGGAAATTGGCACTCCTGGACAGTTGTCTCTCCAAAAACGGGGAGAAGCAATGGACAAACTTGCCCAGGGCAAGTACGTGCCTTATGTCATCCACCATAACACACTGAAAGACAAATCTTGGGCATGTTTACTGAGATGTTATCCCCACTGAGCCAGAGTCCCCACAGAGGCTGAAGACCTCGGCCACCACCCTTCCCCCACAGAGGATATCCCGAAGGCTCTCTAGCACTTTACATGAGAATAAGTTCCTCTCGTGTCCAAAAGAGTGTGCAGGTCTCTCTTATGGCACCATAGGAGTGGTCACTGCTCTTTTCTGGGCGGAGTCGCTTGAGGAGCAGAGAGCGCTTGCTGTGTCCAAAGCAGCTTGTCAGAGGTATCCCAGGGACAAGGAAGGGCATGAAGGCAACTAGCAAGCTGCTAGTTAGCCATCACTACCATGACCCCACAGTCGCCAGTGCTGCCAAAACAAAAGCAGTGAGTTGGCAGGTCTGAAAAGCCCTATCAGTTTGGCCTGAAACGTCAGAGTTGTAGCTTCTTCTCAGGGTCTTTAGGGGAAAGACGAACACTTCAGTTTGGAGGGCCTAAATCAAAGACATGGGCTTATTTTCTGGCTGGCTCAAGAAGAGCTTTTTATATTTCTTCTTCATCCTTATCTCTCAAGCTCCAACCATAAGGCACCAGGCAGAGCCAGGCTCCTCCCTGACCAAACCGGTGCCATCCTTTACCCTCACCACCAGGCACCTCCTGACCTGCCAGGTATCACACCTTTGCCTCTTTGGGTCCCCATGGGAAGAAAGGCAAGGTGTAAATGAAGTAAATCATCAAGCCTGAGCCCCTGGAGAGATGAATTGCAGCAACGAGCAGTTACCACCAGAAGATGCTGAATTTCACGACCATCACTTGACAACATTCTCTGCTGCAGCCCCACATTCAAGCAGAGGACCAGCCAGTACGCTTCAGTGCAGTTATGTGAAGACGGGTTCCCACCTTCCCAGGATCTTATCGTTTCCTCTCTACCTTGCAGGTTCAGGACAGACAACTAAGCCCTGGGATTGCCCCTAAGTGGAACAGGAACACCTCTGAGCATCTTTTAGGGGGCAGTCCTGCCCTTGGGCTCAGTACAGCATACCAAGAATGGCTTTGGGTGTTAACAACATGTGCAGATACAGGAAATGTGCACAAGTTGTGCTTCCTGTATTTGCTCATAGCATTAAGGCCTGAAGCCAGACTCCTAAAGGCAACCCTCACTGGGGCTGTGTCCGAGACTGTAAGCGGTCTGGGGCAGGGATTGCATTTCCGAGTTATGTGTCTGAGAAGACAGTTCAAATTGTTTGGGCTCCCTCACAGTCTGCAGACCACTCCCTGCCCAGCTCTTTCCTCCTCTCAAATAAGAACTTCCCTGACCGAACTACCACTCAGGCATCCCTGCTGTCTCCCCCACCCCACCCCTTAGTGGCAGCCAGTTCTGCTACCTTGAGGAGAGGCAGCATCTGGCATCATGTAGGGCCCAGTTATAAGGGCTCCTAGTTGTGCAAGAAAAAGGAGGGAGAGAAAAGAAGCCCCCCCCCAAAAAAAGAGGCCGTTCTGCCTACTCCATCTCCCCCTGTTATCATCATGCCCGGGTGGACTACAGTGGAATATAAAGGGGCTTAAATAAATGATGGAGGCTTCTTCATGCTAACTCAAAGTGGCAGCAGTGTAATCCCAGAGGGTGGTAGATGGCAGGCTGAGGAATGGAATCCTTTGCAAAGGGTTTGTGCCTTGTGCTGACAGAGCCTCCTGGTGGGCTGTCTGTTTGAGAAACAGCCAGCACAGCTGGGAAGAGATGGGCATTCTTTGCCCTAGTTCTCACAGTGGCAGGGAACCGGAACCTGGGCTGCAAGCCTGCTCCTCCACAAGGATAAAAGTCCCTTTCATGTGAAAAACTAGCAAGGCAGGGAGAAGACTCGTAATTCAGGACCTCTTTCCCAAAAAAATTTCCCTGACATGCTAGCGTCTTATAAGAAAGATATTTTTATACAGAGAGAGAGAGGCGTTTAGTCTAAGCCTTGAATTCTCCCAGAATTACAGCTGATCTAGGGTTGCCAGCTGTGGGTTGTGAAATTCCTGGAGATTTGGGGGGTGGAGCCTAGGGATCTGAGGAGGGGAGAGACCTCAGTGGAGTATAACGCCTCCCAAAGCAGCCATTTTCTCCAGGAGAACTGAGGATCAATTGTAATTCCAAGAGATCTCCAGTCACCACCTGGAGAGTGGCAGCCCTTAGCTGATCCCCAGCGCCCCTGGAGAAAAGGGGAGCTTCAGAGGGTGGACTCTGTGGCATCACATCCCCGCTGAGCTCCCTCCTCTCCTCAGGCATCGTCTCCAAATCTCCAGGGATTTCCCCAAGTGAATTTGGCAGCCTTATGGCCCCAACTGACAGTCTACAGTGGTCCAGTGCAAACACAGGCTACCGGAGGGGTAGGAGATGGGAGTGGGGACCAACTAGGTTTTACCATAGCACTTCAGATGAATGCTAGAGCAGGGGTCTCCAACATGGTGCTCATGGTTGCCGTGGTGCCACCAGGACCTTTTCTGGTGCCTGCCAAGTGTTTTTAGGAAGTGGGTGGGGCCAGGTAGGGCTTTCGTCCAGCAAGGCTTCTTTTTCTTATTGGAGCTTTGATCAGTGGCCACCACAGTGAAAGGAGCTGCACTGTGTTACTGTACTTCAGCAGTAGCAATCATTTTGTGGTTGGCTCAGCCTCCGGTGGCAGGCATTTTGTTGCTGCGCTAGGGATGCCAGATCCCCCGATGGGGGGTCCCCCATTTTCAGGCCCTACCTCTCCGCCCCATTATACCCCTTAAAAACAGGGAACAATGCCAGAAATTGTGACATTCCTATGTGTCCCGGAAGTAACATAGGCACATCAGGGACTTCAGGGTGGCGACTCTCTGGTTTTTGGGCAAAACTCTGTGGTGGAAGCTAATTCTACCATAGAGTTTTTGCCCAAAAGCATGAGCTCCACCCCCTGACGTCCCCGACATGCCTACGTCACTTCCAGGTCAAATAGGCATGTTGCATTGATTTCTGGCATTCCTCCCTGCTCCTGGTAAGTGCAGCCTCCGTCCCCTGCTGGCAGCTCCATGAGACCTGGCGACTCTATGCTGCACCCACCATGCCATGTCAGCATTCCAAATGCACCTGCAGGCTCAAAAAGGTTGGGGACCCCCTATAGATGGTATATGACACCGAAAAAAAAATAGCAAATATTAGCAGTAATATGTCAAGTAAATGTTGGAAATGTAAAAAAAATGGAAGGTTCTTTTTATCATATGTGGTGGACATGTGAAAAAGCAAAAAAAAAATTGGACGGAGGTCCATAGAGAAATTGAAAAAAATGTGAAATGTAAATTTAAAAAGGAGCCAGAGGTGGTGTTGTTGGGACTTAAAATGGAAGAAGTTAATATTGCAAAACGAACTCTAATGTGGTATATGATTATTACAGCTAGAATGAGGTACGCTCAATGCTGGAAACAAGAAAAAGTACCTGAGATCTGGGAATGGATAAAGAAGTTAATTTTCATGGTTGAAATGGATAAAATGACAAGAAAACTTAAGAATCAAGAGGCAGAAGATTTTTTTGCAGATTGGAAAGACTTTAAAGACTATTTGGAGAAATACTGGGAGGTGAAGAACAATTTATTTAGCTTTGACAACTACTGATGTTAGAAGGGTATTTAGAGTGTGTATAAGTGTATAAGAATAATAGTGTTACCTAATAAGTTTAAGTAATAGATGTAAGGTGAAGAGTAATAGAAACAAAAAAACTGGGAGGAAGGTTGGAGCACTGCGGGAAGCCAGAAGAGGGAGAGGATTTGGGTAGAAAAGGATATAAAAGGATTGAAAAAAAATGTTATATTGTTTGATTTTGATGTTATATCCTAATAAAAATTGTTGTTTTTTTTAAAAAAAGGTTGGGGACCCCTGTGCTAGAGAATTGCTCAGTGCATTGACATCACTTCTGATTTGCGCTGGAAATGACATCACAATGTGCATGCAGGGTGGGGTGGGTGCCAATTACCCCCAACTAGACTGTTGAGCAGGGTCACAGGTGGACAACAGGAGGCCCAGCAGGGAGGTCTCCCACTAAGTGAGGTCCTGTCCCTTTGCCCAGATTCCTGTGCTGTCCAGCAAGAGCCTGTACCTTTCTGATCCAGGCAGCACCCAGGGAAAGAAAAGTTCAGGAGAAACAAACAGTGCGGTAGGAATAAAAAAACTAGTTACTACGCAGTTAATAAAGAAGTACAGAATAGCCAAGAGCCATAGCTTTGATTCTGGGAAAGAAAAGCAGATTTAAAATGCTGCAAATAAATAATAGTTCTGTCGATAGGAAATTTGGCTGGCTGTCCTCACTTGGGTGTTTTGACAGCTGGAAGAAAATGTTTAGGAATTACTTAATGCTGAATACATTTTTTGAAACTTAAAGATTGGATTTCAAATCTGAGTGCTCTAAGCAATCTTTATACACAAGCACATATGCTTATGCTCAGTGGGACTTACTCCCAGGTAAATAGAAGCACAGCCTATAGTCATTAGCATTCTCTTGATCTTTCTTTTTTTGGCTATTCTCAAATGCCATCAGCTATAAACCATCAAATGCTTATCAGAATGCCACTGCCAGATGCTCAGCAGTAATTGCCACTGCATGTCACTTGGCAAACATCAAGCGTGTTACCTATCAAATTTTGTCAAACACCAAGAGGAAATCAAATCAAGCACTGAATTAATATGGGTAGAAAAATTCTGCCAGTTTATATCCTCTTCTTCCCCTCTCTTTGTGGTCTTCCCCCATGTAAAAATGTAGAATGCAAGCTCCATGGGGTGAGGATCTGTTGCTTTGCATCCTGTAGAGCACTGTGCACACTGATATTAATAAACATGTTGATAATGATGTATATATGAAATAATCACTAAATATTAAAATCCTCTGCAAATATTTGAGACCAAAGTTGGTTAAGTTGCATTTTGTTTCTGCTCTGTTTCAAGCTTTGATTTCTAAACTGCCCTGACCTCCGGACCTGCAGTAGAAAAAAGCAACGCCACAAAACCCCAATCAAATAAAAAATCATTCTGAATGGAAAATACAACACGGTGTCTTAGGAAAACAGGCTAAAATTACCCAGCGGCTTTAGCCTGGCTTCTGAAACAAGACAGTGCTTGCGGGGAGGGCGGGGTATAAATTTGATAATAAATAAATAAGCTGCCCAGAGTTGGAGGCTTAGATTCTATAAGCAAGTTCTGTGTATGCAAGATAGTATTTACTATGAAGCATGCTTCCTTTTGTGCTAGCACTTCTGGTTGCACAAGAGCGAGGGTTTTCAGAGAGACCTTGGTTACTAGCGCTAGAAGAAGCACTATCTAGCATGCACAGAAATGGCCAACTTTGATGAGTCTCCAGCAGAAGGGCTGTGGAGGACTCCACAAGAGTACTTCTAGATCCCTGCTCTCCACACAGATTGACTCTATTCCGTGGCACCTTGAAGAGACAAAATGTTCATCCAGCATCAGTTTTTCTGGACTAGAGCTCATTCCTTTAGGTACCTCCCTAAGCAGTCATTTTATGATGAAGGTTTGAAAAGATTAGAACAGCAAGGCCAAGGGGGTCATGAAATGCAAGAATTACAGGGTGCAACATAATTTTCAAATCTAATTTAAAAAATACAAAGACCATTCACTAGTTTTGCTAAACAAATCAACAGGGTATTTGCATAAAAAAGTTTTCCACTTCCTGTGAGGAGCCATTACATTGCATCTGAAGAAATGAGATACCATTCACAAAAGAGTACGCTGGAATAAAATTTTCATAGCTTTAAGGTGCCACTAAACTGCTGATTATTTCTGCTGCTACTAACATGGCTGCTCTTCTGAAATTGTTTCAAAGAAGATTCACTCAACTGATGTTAAGGATTTGGGTACATCACCAGTAAGGGGTCAAT